GAAATCAGAACCTTGACATCTGCACGCTTCAGGATTTTGTGAAACAAGATAAGTTGGACAGCCGTCATCACTCCCAATTGCCAGCTGCTGCCCACATGCACTGCTGGCAAATCAGGAGGTATTCAAGCACCCCTCACCTACTCAGAGCAGAGACTGACACCACAGGCTTGGCCTCAGCCACAGCTCCACAAGGGCATTCCTTCCCTTCTGTCACCTCCCTCGTGGGTGGTGACTCGCAGCAGACAGGAAGGCTGGACAGCTGGCTGGTAACCACTGCAGTGATCCCTGCCCTCCTGAGCTGGCCATGCAGAAATGCCACAGTTCAGATGTATGATTATTGCCTGAACAATCAGATGAACAGATTGTTGCCTCCAGACTCGTGTTAAATATGGAAATACACAGCAGATGTAGGGTCAGTCGGTCCAACAGTTGATTATTACCTCTGGGACACACCATACGTCTTACCCAGCACCTTTCTTGTACTGATTTCGTTGGTCAAGTTGCTTTATAGTCAGTCAAGACAAACCTGCTGATTCAGCTGAAAAAACACCCTAGACAAACGGAACTGTTTTAACTGGATAAACTTGTGATCTGATCCAAAGAGCAAAGATGGAGTCGGGAATAAGCACAAGAGAGTCCCTTTCAGCAATGCCACACACCTAGACTGTGTTAAGTGAAGCATGAAACTGTACCCTGAGGATTCACCTACCATCTTTAGCAGAGTCCATCCGTCCACATACCATTCAGTTTATATTTATCACAGTCTCTTCTAGCTCAGCTGCTACTCCTTGGTTTTGTCCTGTAGTTAGAAGCTGCGTGTTAAGTCTCTTAATTTCACATTAACTGCATTCCTAAATTTAGTGCTTCTAGGAAGCAAGAAAGGGCTCCATAAAATGGATTGCCAACAAGCCACATACTTAAACTGTTAAACAAAGGTATTTTAAATCAGTCAAACCACACGAGTCTCTTATTTTATCCTATCTTCTTTGGAGCTTTGTAGTCACCATTGATACCCATTAAAAAGACCTTCAAAACAACTGCTTTTATTAATCACAGTTTCAAAAGACTTCTTGAGAACTCCACACTCAAATCTGAGGGAATGTGAATGTTCCCTTCCTATTGAAAAAGAAGGAAGTCTTAAGTCTGTGAAATGGCTCTGGCCTACGTTTTATATCTATACAATAAAAGAGCTTCAGTATCTCTTTGTCTGCTCTACTGGGTCACTGGTTTAGCACTGAAAAGAAAAATCACAAAAAAGAAAAATCAGCTTTTTCTATTTAGGTGTCCAGTAGATTAAAGTGTTTAAGACATTGTCACAGGCTCTTTCTAATCTCAGAAAGTTTTTCCTCTCAAAAGTCACTGAACTTACCTTGGCTAAGATCCTCAGATCAGGAGGCTGAGGCTAAGTGTAAACTTCACTAACATACAGCCAAGCTGTCCTTAATTTTGATAGCATTGCTTTGAGGTGGGCAAGCAAGAGGTAAAGACTTTATCCTAAAAGCAAATGAGAACACCAAGAAGGTACTTCTTCAGCTGGCTGTCAGCAGATCAGAGCAACCTTCCAAAGTATGCAGAAGTGGGATGACTGCTCACTGAAATACACACAATCTGTGATTTCAGCAGTGAATTTGAGCAGCTGCTGTTTGTCAGAGAGGCGTCCCTCGGAGTGCAAACAACCCAGGAACTATCTAGGGTCACCACTAAGATAGGCTTGTTTCCTGGCAACGCAAAACAGCACCTGGCTTAAAAATCCACATGGGGAGAAGGTAACTGCAATACTGCATAATGTGCCTTGTAAGAAAAGCAATATAATACTTCGTTTTCCTTTGATTTCAAAAAGTGCTTTTGTCTCTATCACGCTCTGCTTGGGGAGATCAATAAGCCAAGGTTCTGGATAAGCCTCTTTTTCCTTAGCATTTAAGGTGGTGTCCTCGAAGGCATCTACATGTGTGAGGCAAGAGCAGCTCCAGTAGTGCTGGACACAGAGTAACAGCAGTCAAGCAGAAAGAACTACCAGTTCTTGGGCTCCACTCAGAACTGCTTTGAGAGCTGGCAGGGCTCCTAGGTTCCCCCCTCTACCCTCGATTTTCCCCATCTCCTCTTGGTCTGCACAGTGCAGATACCTGAATACACCTGCACAAAAAGGAACAGATTGTTCAGAGAAGATGCTGGCAAGAATTAAAAGGACACGTATAAATATGCTGACCAAGGAGACAGCAAAGCACTGTAGGTGAACAGAAACACAACAGCCAGAAAAGAAATGTAGCTACCTTGAAGGCAAGATGCTTCCATACTGTGGAGGAACTATGAGAGAGTATGACCTCTTGCATGAGATCTCTCTTTCTCTATACGCATACACATTGAATATCATTCAAAGGATATTTTAGGAATTCAGTATAATTAATTCAAATCCTATAAATTCTTTCAATAAACTGGTGTATTTTTTTTAACTAACGTTGTGACATCACTAAATAAAATAACTCTTTAAGTTTGTGTGTATGTTTAAAGAAATATTGAATATGCTTCTAGACCTGTCCAATTCCTGCACAGTTTCACAGGATTAAAGTCAAAGATATACATACGTCCATTATCAAGTAATAAAAAACTTAGCTAAACTAAGGCATTTCAGTACTTGGGTAAAATAAGGGCATATCCAAGGAAACAAAAACAGGAAGGGAAGTCTAAGATGCCATGAATACCCATGATGAGTGCAACTCCAGGGAATCACTTATGAAACACACTTGAACGACCTTAGCAGGAGATTACACTCTGAATTCCAGAGGAAGTTAGAATCTGACAGGGGAAATTCCTTCCCCACTCTGTGTTGAGCTCCACATAGCCTTGAGCAAGGGATTAGCCAGGAATCTAGAAATGACACTTTCTGGTATGCCTGAGCACATGTTCACAAGAATGTGAATAGTAAGTAAGTACTTCAGAGAGTAACTGGCTACATCACCTATGGAGAAGTCAAGTCAAATTATAGAGCCTAAGTACCAGTAACTATTGTCTTAATGCAGAACCGCACATTTTATCAATACCTCCAGTCATTTTAATTCAATCACCTCCACCCTTCCCCAGCCCAACAATTTATCAAAGCTAGATGAAAGCATATCTTAATGATTAGGACCAGATCACGATGCAGCTTTCTGCATAAGCCTTTCTGTTGTTTGTATTCTTAGCAGCTGCCTCAAGACCAATGTCTAGCCACTGAATATTTTCTTTCTTTAGCCAGTAAGCAAAACAGATCTGAATTGTCTTCCATTATCTGAGTGCAGCTACGCGTAGTGATGAAGTGACTGTTTTGTTTATTGAGAAACACTAAGGAGATTTAACTTGGGTCTGTATCATAGAAGTACTTTCCAAATACTTTGTTGCACATCTTCAAGCACAGGCACCAGAAACAGAACGCAGGATTCAAGCAAGATAACCTCCCTGCTTCTATTAATAGTCAAGGATCACATTCACTGCTGATAGCTCCAACAGCAGCATTCTGTATATTGCTGTAACTCTAACACCCTTCCTGACTTCTCTGTAGGTATTTTGAGTCATTGTTTGCTATACAAATCGTGGTTTCTATTTGCCAAGTGTATTTCACTGTGTATTAGGAATAAAAATACACAATGTCAGAAAACAAACAAATCACCCCCCCAAAGAATTAACCTCACTACAAACCCCACATAAAGTAAAACACTGTGCTTACATAAAAGGACAATTTATTAACAGGTCCAGGGTCTTTCCTAATCAGCACAAATAACTAGCCTGCAAATGAGCCAGCATAAGAAGTCCTTCAGAGTTTGTTAGAAATACAGATATTTGCACAGCAAGTGACCCTCCTATACAAGCTAATTTCCAATAAATAATACTTGCAATTTGCCAGAAGACATTTACCCTCATCCTGCAATCAATCTCCCATATCTAACATCCAGATTTTCAGACTTTGTTATTTCCTGGCTCCAAAAACTGATACAAGTTCTTGGAGTTCTAGAGGCCTCTCAGATCAGGCAAGCAAACTTGTCTGGAGAAGGAACAATTTTTTCAACTGTAGCAGGGTTAATCTTACCAGCTCAGAGACAGTTAAGCCTCAGGCCAGAGGAGAGCTCTCCCTAGATAAGGGTTTTTTTCTACTAGGCTCCTCCTAAGTTTAGCTATGCACTGTGAATGTCACATGACTTACAAGAAAGTTGTTCCCCAGCATGGAAATGTCCTGTAATTTCTGAGTTCACAGGTTTCCAGCAACATGTTGGTCAATAAGAGAGGAAGAAACAGACATTCATTATGCAGAACGAAAAGCTCTGTGGTTTTGGGTTTTTTTTTGCATTACAATACTGAGGATTTTGTGGTTAAGACACTGATCTACAGCTTTAATGAAAAAACCCAACTAACCACAAAAAGTTCAGATCTTCAATCTGACAGACTGCATACACAAACACCAGGTGAATCTCTCTTTCTGGACCATCTAACTAGATGTACCTATACAATCACAGAATATGCCAAGTTGGAAGGGACCCACAAGGATCATTGAATCCAAACTTTAGCCCTGCATAGGACCATCCCCAAAAGTCACATCACGTGCCTGACAGTATTGTCCAAACACTTCTTAAGCTCTGTCAGGTTTGGTGCTGTGACCAATTCCCTGGGGAGCCTGTTCCAGCATCCAGCCACCCTCTGGGGGAAGAACCTTTTTCTAATATCCAACCTAAACCTCTCCTGATACAACTTCAGTCCATTCCCTCGGGTCCTGTCACTGGTCACCACAGAGAAGAGATCACAAGGAAGTTGTGACTGCAATGAGATCTCCCCTCAATCTCCTCCAGGCTGAACAGAACAAATGACCTCAGCTACTCCTTACACGGTTTCCCCTCAAGGCCCTTCACCACCTTCACTGCCCTCCTCCAGACACTCTCCAATAGCTTAATATCCTTCTTATATTGTGGTGCCCAAATCTGCACACAATATTCAAGATGAGGTCACATCAGTGCAGAGCAGAGTGGGACAATCCCTTCCCCGAACCAGCTGGTGATGCTTTGCCTGATGCCTCCCAGGAATTGGTTGGCCCTCCTGGCTGCCAGGGCACTGCTGACTCATATTCCCCAAGTCCCTTTCCATTCCCTAACCTGTACAAACACTCAGGGTTGCTCCATCGCAGGTGTAGAATCCAGCACTTTTCCTTGTTGAAATTCATACAGTTGGTGACTGCCCAGTCCTCTCATTTGTTGAGGTCTCTCTGCAGGACCTCCCCATCTTTGAGGGAGTCAACAGCTCCTCCGAGTTTTGTGTCATCTGCAAACTTGCTTAGTATCTCCTCCAGTTCCGCATCCAAGTCATTTATGAAGATGTTAGATGTTACATGTACGTATGTGTGCATACACAGGTATATGTATACAAGAACACACAAAACTATAGGCATAGAATGACAAAAGCAGGGACAGAAACCACCACTTTCCCCAGTCAGCTTGAAAGGCAGTGGTAGTTTCTGCCTCCTGCCCAAAATTAAAATCAGATTTAAGAAGGATGCTGGTGAATTTTTCACCAACTTTGTGAGTCTTCTATTTCAACCTTGCATCTCAATTATCTTTTCTAGTTATGATTACAGCCTGACCAAGATATGACATCTAGCATGATCCCTTCCATTTTTATTTTTTTGGTTAGTCTCAAGCCAAGAGGAAGAAAGTTGATTTCTTAGGTAACTACTATGGGGAAACACAGAAAAAAATTCTTCATTCATCTATGCCAAGGAAACCCTAGCTTACAAAATTCATTATTATATTCTCTGAATATAAAGCAGGCAAAATCACTAAGCTCCAGCCAGCTTCTACAGCGTAATCAATTTGAACAAATAACATATAACAAATTTCTGCTGCAATGAGGGGGATCCAACAATTTACCAAGTGAAGTCTATAAGAAGTGCCATCCCTCCTCCTCTTCACTCAAGTGGGTTCTACTTTCCTGCTGATCGAAAAGCAGAGATTATTTATGAGGACCAGGTGAATGTCATGTTATGTGATCTATTGCCTGTGAGTCTGAAGACAGACAGAGTTTCAACATGAAAACTATGTACAAAGCAGTGTATTTCCAAAATTATTATGAATCAACTTCTAGTATTGGCAAAAATCTCTTTCAAGTTATACTGCAAAAGTAACAATTAAGATTAGCAAATTGGTCAAAGAGTACACAAGATGACAAGGCTTTGGTATAGAAGATTCCTTTTAAAAAACAAAGCAGTTAAAATGAATGACCACTTGCCAGTTAAATTCTCCCTTAAAAGAATACCCCCTCCCCACCAAAATGAAAGGCTTCAGAAATACAGATACATGAAAATCTAAAAACAACGTAGTAATATTTTCTCTGTCATCTCAGAAACAGTCACTGTTCCCACCTGTAAAACTCTGCCTCTTGCAGACCTCTCCAGACAGCAACCCCTCAAGCAGTCTCCTCCCTCTTCAACAACTGGGTATGAGAAGTGAGCTACAAATTTTTTTCTTCCAGATGCATGCATTAAGTAGTGCTGATGAATTGTAATAACACACATACAACAGCCAAATACTGGAAGCTGCTATTAAAATGTCAGAAATAAAAGTCTCTGGATATTCCTGCCTATTCCTTCACATTAAAAGATACAACCTTGGTATTACACTCAGTTCTGTATAACTAGCCAAAGTGTTTACTGATGTTCTGTAAGCCTAACATTAGAACCTATGTACTTCAAAAAATGACAGCACAAAAAGTACACAGTCAAAGAAGCTCTTAAGTGTCCCCTGCTATCATAGTTTGTGGAGCCTGCTGGAACAGGTTTGTAAACAGAAGTTAAGAGATCAGGTAGAAGTTCTTATAGTAAGAGCACAACTCCAAATATGAACAGCTGCCTCTGCTGAATCGAGTTCAAATTTACCCCAGATAATTTAAAAAGCAACAAATTGGCATCTGGGGCTTTCTAGGAGAAGGTTACAATTGTAGGTCTTCCAAAAAAAAATAAAATAAATTCCAAGAAAAACTGCAATACCAGCTGACCAGTCACTTCTGGGGATTAAAACCGTGAGTATGCAGTTCTTTGCTGTTGCTGCTGGGACGGCGGCTGTCCTTGCTGTTGCTGGAGACGGACCTGCTGGGAGTATGGGTCCTCAAGAGATTTAACAAAAATAGTTGTTTTAGGCCCAGTTTTCCAGACAATACCATTTGAATCTATTACAGAGGACTCTACTGTGATGTTGTGGGTGCCAAGTATCACAAAGTTTAACAGAAACTGAGTGCTGAAGTAGTCGTTGTGTGGTTCCACCCTCTGCTCCATTTCATTGGTCATGTTGTCAATAGGAATCTGAGAACAGAGATGGAAGGTTAAAGTGTCACTTCATATAAACCTGTCAAAAATAAGTTTTCTGCTCTCCATTTGAGGGAAAGAAAGAAAAAAGAGATAAAATTTTGTCCTCAATTTTCCTAGACCAGTGCATGTTTGAGACAGCTTGACACGCTTTTTCATCGATGAGTTTTTACACCTACTCACAGAAGCAAGGCAGCCAACAAGTTTTTCTACCTGAGGCTCTAGTTTTCCACAGAATAATACAAGTCAAACATTACACACTTCCTAGTTCTGTTTTTCACAAGCAACCAACCTTCACCTTCCCCCCCCCTCAAAAAACCCCAACCAACCAATCAAACAAAAACCCAAACCCAAACCCCACCAGAACAGGCCTTTCACCAAATACCACACATCAGCAGAACCTAAACTCCAGGCATGCAATCTTCAATAAAACTGTTGAGTTAAATTTAATATGTATCTCCTCAGATGCCCTTTAATTTGGACAGTCTGTCCTCATGATTTCCACAAACAAAATAAGAGAACCTTAAAATGATGATAAATAAATTCTAGAGACTATGTGGTAGAGAATAGTCTGCCCCTGGATTTTTTTTGTCCTGTGGAGTTCCATATGATATATACCTAGGTTGAGTTTTCTTGATCTCAAGCAGATGCCTAATGACTTGTTCTGAACATCACAAAGCCTCTTTCTTTGGAAGAAAAGTTGTTTTTAAAATGGTATTGGCATATAGCAGATTTGAAAATCCCAGATCCCTTCCAGGCACTATGCTTGGCTCTGGCCAGTGCTCGAATGTCAACTGTCAGGAGTGAAAGAATAACAGAACCACCTGTTTGTTTCAACCTGAAAATTCTGCTAACCAGAGTCAAACAAAAGAACAGGAAAATACAGCAAAAGAGCTTCAGACTCCTCCTGCTTCTATTCTATCCATACCTTATAGTCTTGTCCAGATTTGCTCTGCAGCACTGAAGATACATTTAGACAGACTGACTGGATTTTGCGGAAAAGGCCTGGTTTAGATCCATGCTGAACCACTCCTTCCACCTTTAGGGCCAATTGCTGATTGTTCTGTACTGCTATAGGTTCTGCTGGGTTCCTTGGAGATGGGGATAGAGCAAGCTGAAACACAAGTAAACAGATCAAAATGTAATTATAAGCCTCCAGAAAAGCAAACACAATAGAAGCATGAAACAGGACACCTTCATATAGAAAAATTTCCAAGGAGAGGTTCGGAAGAAAACCAGCAAATGGAAAACCAGAAGTTATCTGAGACCTTTTATTATATTAACTAATAAACATCATCAGCAATACCAGATATTGTGTTTATATCAGTTTCATTTACTATACTTCCACAAAAGATGTGGAAAAAATCTTCCCCAAAAATAGCCACAAGTAAGTATATTAAGCTGAACAAAGAAGTGAAATGCAATAAGAATAAATATAAAAAAACTTAAGGCTTTCATTTTTCCCCCCAAAAAATGAGCACTTAAGTAAAACAAAAAAACATGACCATAGTCATATATAGTCATTCTTAGTCAGTCAGTTGATACATATCACAATTTTCTTCAAGATAGTAAACCTTGCTTTTTAAAGGAAAAGCTGCCTTCCTGGGACCAGAACATTATTTAGCTTTGCAGACTCAGAATCAAGAAAAATTCCAGCAACATTTTGCCTTTAAGGCTTTGCAACCAAAGAACTGAATCCTACTTGCCAAAGTCTCAGCCTAGTGGTTCTCAATGACCATACATGATAATATTCAGTTTATTCCTAAGAGATAAACCAAATGCTATTTGCAGCTAAGTATCTTCACTGAAAAGCTTTGTGCCTTCAGTAGGGCTTTTCTCATGAAATAAAGACTCTGGAAAGAGAAATTTTAGGCCATACTTGAACAGTACTTACTTTGATACTTGTAGACTGCAGCTTTTGGAAAAAGTACCTTTGAAATGAAAGGGGTACCTTCAACAAGGCAATGACAGCATTGCACAGACAAGCTGTATGCTGCAAGAAACAGAGCCAGAACAATTGAGAAGAAAATACCATTCACAGCATAGGAAAAAGACACATACTTGAGGTACTGAAACAGCAGTAATTTCCACTAAAAGTCCAGAAATATATTAATACAGTCACAGAATAACAGCCACTATGATGACAGTGATTACATTCACCCTGTTTATGTTCTGCTTTTTATGAAGAAGGTATTCTGCTCTGGAAACAACAAGGAGGCCAAGAAAAAGAAAAATACAAATCTTTCCAGTCCTAGTGTTAGAGTCAGCAGAGCAGGATCTGCTTGAAACACTCGTACACAAAAACATCACACACAAACTCCCCTCCAAGCAAACAAGACTGGCATCTATCACAACTTAATACAATAATTAAGTTTTAAGCCTCTTGACCACTCTTTCTTTCCCAGCTGCACTATACCACCCTTCTGGCTCAGATGAACACAAGCAGCGTCTTCAGCACAAGCTGCTGAACCCACGCAGCTGCCTTGGTACAGAGCCAGTGACAACCAAGTTTACAGGGTTTACCTTTGCTACCGTTTATGGGACTCATTCTTCAATTCTATTTGGAATTGGTAAGGACTGTTGAATTTAGAAACAAGGCAAACAGAAGCCAGGCATGATAAATAAACTATCTGGTTCCCATTAACATGCACTTCAGCTTTATGATGTTCACTAACAGTAAAAGACAGAACCACAGCAGCCCTGTAAAGGGGCACGTTATCACCTGGCTGTTTGCACTCAGCACACTTTACCTTGTGTCCTCTGATGACCTACACTGATAAGAGAAAGGATACACTCACAAAACACAGCATTAACCACCAACAGCTCTGGGACCAAAGCTAGGCTAGTGCTGGACCCTCCAGCACTGTGTGTGGTAGGGGGAGAATTCCTTCACAAGAGCATGAACAGAGAGAATGCGCTTCAGTGTTTGAATGTGAGTGTGGCAAGAGGTCTGACAGAGTTGACAGTACTTTCAGTTATCTTATCAGCATCTGCTATGCTCTAAGTATCAGAATTTTTAAGATTATTTTAACCAGTAAGGTTACAGGTGTCTTATCAAAAACATTCTTGAAGTATTTTTGAAATACTGTGTCTTTGTGGAGACCATTTGTGCCAGTAAGAGGTTGTGCTAATTAACTGAGTGTGCTTTTTGGTTTCTTGGCCATATGTCCATAGAGATATGGAGTTGCCAGGTTTTTGGAACCTTTGCCTACAGAATATACATTTAAAATAAAACTGTTACTTGCCAAGTAAGACACAGGAGCATACTTCCTGTTGAGGGATTCCACTTCCTCTAGTACATGATTAAATACAGACATCATTCTTCTTTCATATTCACTTTCAACATGAGCTGTTCCATTCGAGCTATATTCCTGGAAACTAAAAAAATAAAACTTTTTATTGTGTCTAACTTACTTTCCTCATCATAATCTGGAAGGCACACTACCAAACACACCCAACAAGACCATCCTCTGTTACAATTTGAAATCCATTAAGGGATATCTTTCAAACTGTTTACTCTGTTTCTTTACTATTTTTTTACTATAAGACTTGCTCTTTACATTTAAACCCTTCTAAACTACAGCTTAGCCACCACTTTCTGTCCCCACCCTCTCTCACTTGAAGCAGTTACAGGTCTAACAGACTCAGCATGCTTACTTCCCCTGGTTTTTATTTAAGCCTGTAGTGTTTATAACATTTTTAAACACAAAGAAAAGCAAGAATGCCAGTCAGAATTAAGACTAAACCTGGAAGTTTATAATCTCACGACTTGAATACAATTCCATCTCCTAGACACCCAGCTTCATATGAGTTTGATTAATACACCTTCTAAGCAATGCTTAATTCATAATGAGTAGTACAGTCACTTAGGCTGCTCACTTTTATTGCTCACTTTGTGATTTACAAAATCACTAAGAGGTTTTATCCACAGTATTTTCCATTTAATCTCAGCCTGGGAGTTTACAACACTGATTCAATTCATGGGTACTTCGATGTGATTTTCTAGTGGATATCAGTTCACTGTTAGAAAAGGAATCAGAGGTGATGGATTTACATTAGAAATTTGAACTAATTTAGTGCATATATTTTCACAACTGTGAAGGAAGCTAAGGTGCACTCACAAGTGCAAGCAACAGGTAGGGGAGCTAACACAGGATGATACAAGATAAAACAGGTGGTTAAAGGAGAGATTAAAAGCCTTTTTTACTTTAATGCAAGACTATATTCAGGACAAGTCCAATACAGTGCTCTCGAGCAAAATCAGTGCAAAACGCAGAACTCAAAACACAGTCCCCAGCCTGCCAGGTATAGCACAGAAGTAACAGATTCCTTAAGCCTGCCCAAAGTATAATTAGAAGGGTCTACTGAGAAACTTTCCGAACATTCTTTCAATTCCAGCACTTAAAGCTCCAAGGATTTAGAAATAATCATAAAAGGAGCATGAAGTTAACTATCAAACCTACCTTGCAGATTCTGGATCCAAAATCAGAGCTTCTATTGCATGTGAAATCAAAAGGCAGCTCTGCTGTTGTCTGATATTAATACTAAGGAGTTGAAAGGCTTAAAAAGTTGGCACCTAAAATAAGAAATGCAGTGTATTTAGTGGCACTTTTCCTTGTTTCTCTAGCTTTTGTGAAGTAATCCTACAGTCATTACTTGTTTAGTAAACATGGAGCAAGAACTGTGAAATTACCAAGTCTTGTGCTGCTCCAATTTTTGTGTAATAATCTGTTCATGAAGTAATTCCAAACGATAGTGTGGTAATGTTTATTTTCAAATAGGTTTTGAGCAATTGGTACATAATTTTTATGTTATTAAGTGCTTCAAAATGACTTTGTGGCAGTCTACAGAAAAGAGGATTGTGAAGCTTCAGGCTGTCTACATGAGAAGGTAAGTGGACAAATTATAAGATTTTAAAAGGATACAGTTCTACATTCCTTAGAGTTGCAGAGTCTGCATCAAAAGATGACTGATATAGATCTCCATACCGTGTAGCCAAGTTTCGGAATTCCTCCATTGAGTGTTTCATCTACAGAGACAATGTTACTAGTCAAAAAACACAAATCAAAGGAAAACAAACAAAACACCACACATTCAGAATACCAGTACACTGTAACATACAACACTGAAGTAATAAGGTAACACACTCCACCAAAATATATAAAGTTCTTGTTTCTTCACACAGATGAAAATTACCAAAATGACAGACTGTTATCCACGCATTAAACACACATTTCTCCTGTAACAGAACACCAGCAGGCACTCCTTGGGTTAAAAATAAAGCAAAACAAAAAAACTCCAGCAACAACCTCCTCCATTCCCTACTGGCAAATCAAACTGCTTTAGCTTTCAAAGGCTACCCACTGATTCCTTCTTGCAGACTACATGCTTTTTAGAAGCAAACCATCTTGGTGTTTTTCATGGTATCGAGGCAATTGCCAACACTCACCAAAAGGAGTTGCAGTACGATCCTAAGGTATATTCTTCTGCAGTGTAATCACAGTATCTGAGGTGTTTTAAGACAAGGTGTGAAAGGCCTTGCTGCAAGTTTGAGCGGCTCACTACATGCACACCCTTGGAAGCTGTGCATGTGAGTGTATGAGAAGACGTGCGCACACGCTCAGCTTCAGAGTATAACCTGCTAAAGGCAGGTCATATTAACAGGGAAGGCATTTTTACAGCTACAGGTGAAAGCCAAGGCCCACTATTCAGCAAAACACTTCACTGCTACTTTTCGTTTCTTCTGAAATATATGATTGCTGAGAAGCAGAACTGGTACCCAAGTCCTAAACAGAACTGCGCCAGAGTGGAACAAGAACACGTGCCTGGTTAGAGATGCGTCCACACCTTTGGAGATCATTTCCTGATGTCATAGCAATTGTTGTGGCAATAGCTGGTGGTGGGCTTGTTTTTAGGCTGTTGCAGGTACAAATGAGTTGAGAAAAAGCTTGCAGAAGGTCAATCCTGAGTTTCACAAATCCACACTGAAAGCTCAGAGGATTAAGTGGAGTACTAGCAGCCTGAAATACAGGAATAGCAATGTTGGTAATCTAGGTCAAAAGCAAAAAATGATAAAATAACATTGCAGTGTCACTGAACTGTCTCATCAGACAACTAAAACCTAAAGTTCAAATTCTAAAAGCTTTTTTTAAAACTACATTTAACAGGTTTGTTCAATTTAAATCATACTAAATATAAATGACACAGAAGTTACATAATTCCTAAGTCATATTGCAAGCATCCCACCCTTGTAATAAATGTGACTTAAGCTGTTACAATGCTATTAGGGCACATATTTCCTCTTTTTCCAAGGCCAAGTCATAAGGCTTCAAATGACATTAGCCCAGACAGTCTTTACTGTAAGAGAAAGTACATTGAACTGCATGTCAAACAAAAACACAAGGACTGAAAAAGTGATTCTCTACATCAGCCAGAAGAGAAAGAATTGGCTAAAGTTACCCAGAGCAAGAGGAAGGGTTGATAACCTTTGATTTTTTTGGACTGTGAAATGGATGGGAACATTATGAAAGCCCTGAACCCTGCATTTGATGAAGGCCAAGAGACATGATCCAGGGATAACTAAGGACAGTAAATAACAGAACTCCAGGAGGGTAGACAAGCCACTATTATTTAGAAAATACAGTTCTGTGAAACTTTGCTCCCTAAGAGCTTATATGACTTGTAGAAGCATCTGTGACAGCTTAGGACACCCAGGAGAGGCTAAATTTGAGCACTCAAGGTTTGATACTACTTAACCCAAAAATCCACTACTTATTTTTCTTAAACTCTTGGATTTTGAGAAGAATACACTTTTTTCTTTCATGGGGGGGGGGGGGGGGGGAGGAAAGTCATCTGCAAAACAAAGCACTGGGACTTTCTCTTACTCAGAGAATGAAAGTACGTCAAATTCATGCATATCTTCCCCAGTGCTTCTTACTTCTCACCGTGTCACTTCTCAAAGCAAGAAGTTGTAAGCCACCCCAAAACCTTACTAAGAACCATTTCTTTGCTGGCAGAGAAACAGCTAACTAGTGTCTCACAAAACATCACGTCATCTGAGAACTGGCCCACTACTGATTAAAGCAAGGAAACATAGCTGACTGCAGCCACTTTAAACTACTGAGCTAGATTTCAACTGAAAAAATAAGATTATTTCATCACTTGAGCCACTCAGCCTCTCTTATCTATCACTTTGCTTTCCCTTCTCCAAGGGCACAAAAAAACCCTCCTTTTGAATTGAAAACGTTCGGTTTATTCTGCAGGGGTAGTTTCAGAAAACCCTCTGTGGAAGAGGGTCCACTGCACTGTAATTGCTCTACAGAGACTACGTGCTTTTAAAGAGAGTAAAGTACCAGTACTTGTATCAGAAAATCCAGACATTTTTAGTAGCGCAAATGGGACTTGATTCTTGTAAATGGAAACACAAGCTTGTCTCATTAATACTGCAATTACCTTATCTGCTACTCATATAGCCATGGGCAACAAATGAGTCACAATTCTTTTTTAAAACTGACAGACTTCTTTAGCTCAGCCAAGTTCTTTGAACACCATCACTTGCTATCAACATATTTGGAATTAGTGCCACTTAACCAATGGCTGTATGAATGCTTTGTTCAAGTTTTGTATCTTCTCTAGATTACCAGCAGTGAAAAATGAGCACAAAGCTTCCAATGAGACACATGTTCCATGCCAGAAAGAGCAGGCCCTATTCAAACCTTTTGATAGCTCTACAAGCAAATACACAGCAAGATGGAGGAGGACTGAGGTCAATATGCTCCATGACAAGTCCCTGTCCTCCCACATCCAACTCTCATCCATAAAGTAATGGGACTACTTTCCCTCAAGCGCACTAAGTCAGATGTAAGAACATTCTGCATGCGGCAATGCAAGACAGTTGTATGTGTATCAAGGAGGAATTGAGAAATTTTCTGACAAGATCAGACACTGTCTGAAAGCTTCATCATTGCAAAACTGCGCTGACTAAACATCTGCAACAGATTTACTGGCACAGTGTTTTCCAGCTACAAAGAGGAACAGCTACACAGGGTTCATCATACACACCACTGGTTTGTGGTACCACTAGTGCTGAGTTGTGCTCTGCACTGAAACAGCAGCAACAGTGAAGCTGAAGTCAGGGGGGAGAGACAGCAAGTCTTCAGCAGCAAGACTATCATGCACTCTGTGCACTTTGCTCCCCTTTGAGATGCCGAGTTCTACAGATGCAAACAGCGAGTGGCTCCTTTTACAGCCGATACACTCAAGCAGGTTGGGAAATTGTCCAGAATGATGCAACAAGTCAGCAACAACCAGCAATAAACCCAAATTTTCTCTCCTCTAACCCTATGAAACCTGTACTTTCTCCTCTGGACAACAACCACTCAAAAGGAAGGTACTGCACCCAGAAAAGCACTATGTGCAGCACGCAGGAAGCGAAGTCAGAAGAGACGAAGACAGGAACCCTTCAACAGAGAAACAGTCTCAAACTCTAGGGAAAGGGTAATTAAATTCCTGAATCACAGAATGACTTATTTAAGCAAGTTATTTTCCTGCCCGTATTAAATATTTACATCTAAATAGATGAGGTCCTCCCCTCAATGTCTTCTCCATGTTAGAGAAATCTTGAAATGCTGAATTAAAAGCCTTATTCACTCAGCCAACAGCTAAAGACAGACACTTCAGGAATAATGGGTCTTTCAGAGGATAACAGTGTAAAATTTATGTCCTTTCTGCTTATTCAGGGACATTTTATTATTAAATAGTAATATCTGAACTTTATTAAACACTTATATATGAATTGTCATGACCCAGACAGTGCCAGTAACTAAAAAAAGAGAAAAAAAGCAGCTTCACTGAAGATACACAAAGAAAGTTGTCTGTAAAGATTTCTTCATGGAAACTAAAATAAGAAATAAAGCATTGTGTGAAGCTGGATCACCTTTAGTTAAGAAGCAACTTCACAGTAAGAACTGAAGGTCCTTATTCATTAATGCTTTTTTTTGTTTACATTCACAGATGTGGTATTTTTACCCCTTCAGAGAAGCAGAAAAGTACTTGCATAAAAGCAGGTACCATCTGAATTCTGCCAATTTGATGAAGTTGAATTGTCTTCCCTCCTCCTTCTAAATTGGTGTTGCCTTGTTGTTAGGATTCCACAAGATCACACTGTCAAAGACAAGGTAACATGAACTCAACAGGAGGGGGGAAGACAATTAAATTCTTCTCTATATTTTGAGAAGATGGTAGCCAATTTAGACAAATTTCCAGGTTTGACTATTACAACAGCTTTTATTCAGCCAAGACAAAGAGTAGAAAATTTTAAGTACTGTAACTTTAAACGAGATCTGTCACATATCATGTGATCTGATCAATGCAGGAAATGAGGGGTGGGGGGAAGAAGGAAAAACAAAGTAAAATCTAGCTAATCACACTCGGCTGAGCTACAGGATCTTTTCTCTGAAGATGCAGTGTTACTTCTCTGCAGTCATCTCAAAAAGAGTCTGGCAGATGCTATACATCTTTTAAAACTTTTCAGAGATTTAAGAACAGAAACCAAACACATGCTGCAGTACAGTGGATGTGTGCTGACCGTCAGTGATGCTATTCCTTTGTGATAGGACTTTAAAGCTTCAGCAATGCAAGAAAGTGCTGAGCTGTAGTTGTCCTCCTGCAAACCTGTCAAACACTGTTCTGCATGGGAGAACTCCTTCAAGCTGTTCAGCCAGAAGTAGAAGTGTTCTGAAGCTACTTGAGTCAGCAGGCTTTGATACAGTTCTCTGGCCATGTCATGGTTGCCCTGTAATGAGAAGAATGTTTCTAAATGGGGATGTGAAAGAAGGCTGTGGATTTCTACAAAACAAATACAAGTAACAAAACTGAACATCTCCAGAACTACTTCTATCTTAAAAATAGGATAGTGAAAGTTTTTTCAAACCTTTGATCGTGACAATCCTAATAAATAAAAGCACAAATCTTATTTTATGGAAATATCAGCCTGTATATACTAATTATTTACACAAGATAATTCAATAAGATGAGAAACAAACATTGAAATTTACTTTCACCTCAGCATCTCATACTAGGTTCTGTGTAATTCTAATCCCAGCTGTGAATTTACTGAAGGGAAAAGGGAAACAGGATCTTTTTCTTCCTTTCTTCACATTGAAGAAAGAGAAGCACACATCAGGATGACCTGTACCACCTTCTAAAGAACAGTCAGACAATACAGATTAGGTATGTGCTCAAGAAAGTGCCAGGCCATTACTTACTTCCTTCTCAAATACTTCAAACACACAAGTGAAAAACCATTCTGATTGGATCAGTGTCCTAAATGGCATATTTCTGAATCAGCTTTCCAAGGAATTAAGAGAGAAAGTGATTTCTACTCCCCACCCCCATTCATTTCCTCCTCCCAAGTCCTACCATTTTCCTTACTTTCTCATCCAATTCAAAGAAATCACTAGCATCCCTCCAATCACAACAAACCATTTTCCTCCAGATATTTTCACTTACCATCCTAGAAGCCTGCCTGGCTATCCTGTAGGCTGTCCATCCATTGGAGGCATTCTCAAGCTGCTGTTTGATAACAGTTTTGATTTCTGTGGACAAAGCTTTCTGACTGGATACAAATATCACTGTGGCAAGAGAAACCTAATAGAGAGTGGTGGAGTGAGGGAGAAAGTTATATTTCAGTAACTAAAGAAAAGAAGAAAAAAGCCAGTTCTGTTTTATTTTGGACTCAAAACTACATTGAAGATTACATATAAATTTTAACTGCAAAACTTTTCTGAGTCATATCTTTTAAGTAGTTACAGCCATCCCAGTATTTCTTGTAGATCAAAGTAACTTTCATTTAAAGAATCTTTACTCTCCCTTTTAACTGAGATATTTCAAATGCTCCAAATAAATTAACAGAAAGCTTGTAATTTCTTTTTTAAAATTCAAATTCTTTTCCAAATAGATGTGATGAAAGCATTTTTCTCTCTTACAATATATTAAGTCATTTTGCATCATTATATATATTCCATATATAAATGGAGCTAACTGCCATTTTTCCTATAACCATTACTTTAGAGATAGCCCAATAATTTCAATAGCCAGGTCTGTCTAAGCAGTGCCACCTGCTGGAAAATCTAATGGAATACACTCCTTAGTTCAGCTCCATCTAGGAAATATTTCTACACTAAACACTGACATATGCAGTCAAAAGTTAAAACAAAACTGAAAATAGTGGCTATAGATTGGCACATCAACCTGGACATAACAAATGTTTTAGCTGCCTTTTTAAATACAATTCATCTACAGTTGTTTATACAGACATTTATCTATCAAGGGAGGCCTTACCAAAAGTTCCTGTTTCTTATCTGTGGCAGATTGTCCAATTAATTTATAGAGGTCCATTAGGTCTCCTAGGATCCCATCTGCTAGGACAGGCAGCTGCATGGCAATAGCTGCTAAACAGTGGCACATGAGAATCCTGGCATTGTCCTGGGCACTCTGCAGCTGTGTCAGCAGGGATTCAACCACTGACTGGCTCAGGTGAGGACGGCACTTCACCAGCTTCACCATACAAGTCAACGTGATCTGCAATTCACACATTCAACAGGTACAATAAACATGATGTCTACTCAAAAATAAAAAAGCTAGGCACACTTATCTGCAACTATGACTGCAGAAATATAGATCTGGCATTTTCAAAACCATGTACTCTACAAAAGATAAGATTTTTCTAAGAGCCCAAGCCTTTGTCCCTGAGCTCACAGCACAAAAACACATCACAAATTCAAGAAATGTTTGTAGTCTTGGTCAGACCACCAGCCTTTACAGGTAAATAACTAGAAAAACTACTGACAGCAGTTTCTGAAGTGGGAAAATAAAAATAATAAAAGCCTTGTGATCATGTACGTTGCATCTCCATCCCCATAAAGCAAGTTCTCTCAAAGATCCTTCTGTCCTCCAGAGACACCTCCATCCAACGTTCATGTTTAATTACAGCTGTTCCTCTGAGAACAATTCACTCATTCTAGAGCTGAGAGACAGTGCACTATAGCTGTGCTCAGCTTCTCTAGAGCTCTGGACTCTGATTATGGGCAAACCAGAAAAATCTTCATTTCCCTCCAGTTTGTTATGCTTCCACCAGAAAGGATCTGGTGCATATCAGCCACTCTGTTACACAAGATGTTACTATAGCTTACAGCTGTGCTAGGGGAGGATAACAGTAATGTCACCTTTAAGGTTGCTTGAGCTCCTGGACTGTCATCTTGACTACAAAGAACAAGAAGAGCTTCTAAGCCAAAAACTGCATCTTGCTCCAAAGGCAGAAGATCTACAAAAAGAAAAGGACAGTTAGCTTGTTCTCTGTTCTGTTTTCTTACCACAGTCAGTGTAATGCTTGCAGTGCTGTTGCAGTCATGACAGACAAATATCTCCCTAATACTTGGGCCTTACCTTACTTTAGAAACAAATCTGCCATTCCATGTCTCAGGTAACTATTGAGCAATCACAGCAACTGTGATATTTGTAAAGCATTCATAAACCTACGGACTAAGGCTTCTAAATGCTCTGTTATTCTTTTGCAACGAATTTTGCGCAAAGTGTTTTCAAAGGTTGACAAACAATTCACTGGTCTTACAGCAAAAGGGAAAACAAGCATTTATTTAGCACCAGTTCTACTATGCCCAGTAATTTTTTCTTAATTAGACAAAGATGGAATCTTCCAATCATTCATAACATCAAACAGAGTATTTTCTACTAGATTATAGTCCCCATTCTCCCTAACCAGAATGAAGGATCAGACAGATTTACAGACAGGTTCACAGACAGGACCAGTTAATACGTGTTAAGTGCATAAGCGTGATTGTAAACAGACCCACTTTGTTGTCCTTGCTTTCACTTACCTTTTTCCTGACAAGAGGCTGATATATTAGTCAGAATTCTCACACCATGAGCTGCAATGCCACGGTTAGTATGGTAACAGCACTCCTGTGCTAGTTTTACTAAATCAAATGATCTTGCAGTTGTAGCTGCTGTTCCTAAACAAAGACAAGGCAAATAGAACACAAAACTGCACAGTCCACAAACATACCACAGATCTTTAAGCACATTTCTACGAAACAACTATATTGACTACAGATTTTTTTGTTATGTTTAAACGATAGGATGAAAATACACCAGTTAGACACGGATAGGAAAGAACATTTGGGTCTAAAGGCTGATGTTTCAGGACTCAGAGAAAATATTACGTCTGATTAAAAAAGCTGGTGAGCATATTAATTATTCAGACATGCCAGAATGACTGAAGAGAATGTATTTTTTTTTCCCATTTCTGCAGTTGATGTAGTTGGGCTCACAATACTCATTAGGGCTGTCTGGCTTTCAGGAAGAAAAAAGAAAACAGCATGATGATAATTCTAAGAACAAGATACCTTGAATCACTTTTAAATGTCTACTCTATTTCTCCAGAATATTGTCACAAGGCAGAAAGGTTCACCTATATATTGCTGCAGGTCATTGCCACAAGGGTGGCATAGCTTCACTGCACCTGGATAACATGCCAGCCCACTCTCACACCATGAAGCCTCCCTGCTACTCAAGAACTGTGCAAATCTATGGTTTCAAAGCACCTCAAGCAGAATGCAGGTCAGCCATTTGAGAGGCAACACACTGATCGTAAAATGAAGAAATGTTGAAGACTCAAAGGTAAAAACCCATTTCATACACTATAGGACCCAGAAAACAGAACAAGATCTGAGACCACGATTATTCAAGGGTATACAGCAACCTATTTTAAGTTTACATGTGATTAACACAGTCTGACTCTCAGCTAGTATTCTCAAGCTCAAAAATAGTTTAAGAATATGCTACGGAGTGTTTAGATGCAAATGATCATCAGTAGAAAACCAACCTACTAGAAATGCCAAAGATAACTATCTTTTCTTACCTGGAGCACTGCTGAAGTATTGTTTAATGGCAATGGTCCCAGATAATGTGGAAAGAACAGATAACATGCCCATTTTCAAGCTGTCATAAGGAGTGTGAAGAGCAGATTCACAGAGTGCCTAAAGACCAGCAGGAAAAAATATACAGAGATAAGAAGTCCCATAAGCAACCTGTATTAAAAATGTAGTTCCACTTCTCTGCAAAGTTTTGAGAGTCAAAATTTTCCTACAGAAAATACTATACTAAAATCAAGCAACTGTTCTAGAAGACTGAGGATCTGGCTTGCAGAAAAGTGACAGTGGGTCTTTCTTATATGCTATGAAACATCAATTATAAGTCACTTATTAATTAAAAATCAGGCAAAAATATTATCAGGTCTCATTGATCAAATACTACACAAGATTTTAAGACAGTTTCTCCAGTCTTAGATTAGAGGCATATTGATTATTTTGCCTTGTACCAATCTGCAGGGTTTTATGTAAACACACACCTCTGAAGAGCAAAGTTTCAAAAATCATTTCCTTTACCAGTACTGGTGTCCAGCAGAATACAGTTTAAGTTCCTTGATAAAAATACTAAAGTGTATTTTATTTTTAATTCACTTATAGTAGAATGTGCCATCATACTTTTGTGCTTTGCTTTTTTAGTCAACAGAGGGACAGTAATATGAGATACAAATGGAAAATATAAGTATATTCTGCCTCAGAGAGTGTCAAAGCTGAATTATAATATCCAGTAACTGAATAAAGAAAAACAACAACACAGAATTAGTTTCACAGAACAAAAAAACCCCAATGGTGTTCTTATCAGGCATATGTATGGTGTAAGGGTTAAATTCTAAATACATCTGTAATTTGCACCAATTAGTACTTTGTTAATCCATTGAACAGTATGGCATCAACAGACAGAGGAAGAGACAATGATTAGGGTTGAAAATGAGTCTCAATGTCTCCCAAGACACTGATGTTTTACTCCAGTGCTATTAGATTCCCTCTCGGAACTTTGAAGAATGCCAGGAGCACAGAAGAATTAGCAGGATGGAGCACAGACTGCTAGTTACCTCTGCAGTCAGAAGGACTGCTCTAGACATCAACAGCAGCAGCTTCTAAAGCTGATGTCTACAATTAGCGAAGTCTCCACAGCTCAAAGATCAAGCTTTCCATCTGACAGACTCAAAATGCTGAAGAAACTAACTAACTTTTCTTGGTAAAAAGGTACAAGAAGCAGGTCTTGCCACAAGAAAAGGAGGGATTGTTCCAATCTCTGTTTTATAAACATTACTAAGTCATTTAAATATATAGAGAACAAATTTCCCAACGCCAAACGTTGACTTTATACTTCAGAAGGCAGAAAAATTCTCATTATTTCTGCATGCCATTCAGGAAGCAGATAATTCAGACAATTAGTCTTGTTTTAACCTAGCCACTGGTTTAGTTCTGACATCGATGGAACTTGTCCCTGTGCATTTCAAACATTGGGACATCTACTCTAAGACACTATGTGACAACAAAAGCCATGTTATCCATGACTACTGACCAGACATAAGGGTATAGAGTAGCATTTTGACTGCAAAGAATCCATAAAACAATCCATAAAACAATTCCTTAAAAATACCTTTCTGGTATTAATACATTATGAAGAACAAAACAGTTCACTTAAATAAAAACCTCTGCACGCTCCAAATCATCATCATCTCTAAGAATCAAGGGCAAAGCAGAACATGCTTTATTTCTCACATGATTGTTAACAAAAATCCACACAGTTTTTCCTCCCAGCTGCCTTATGCTCCAACAACATAGAACAAAAGTAGCTTCCAAGGGTAGCAAAAGCAAAGAAAAATGACCCAGAAAAAAGTAGAGCTCTAACCCTCTGCTGTTAAGTTCTTGAAATATTTACTTTTCCATTAATCTAACCCGAAGTTATTTTCTATAGTCATTTCTACCAGAAAAAGAGAAAGACAAGGAGAAAAAAAATATTCAAATGCAACTGTGATCAAAAGAAGGCAGTGATAGTATCTACAATATAACAATATTTTCCCCAAATAGCACAGGTGCACTATAAACACCATCTAGGGTCTCATTCATGCTATGGGAGTCACAAGGTTACTATTGAAAATAAGCCATTAATCCTAGGAAAGTAAGTCAAAACGACACTTGTCCTTTCAAGTATACCTTGCTGGATGACAGGCTCTGACAAATCCCAGAGACTCTGTTACACGAAAGCATTAATATGTACTCTATGTATTTTAAGATTAATATAAACATTCAGCTCTCGTGTCTAATACCTCAGATCAGTTTGTCAAATGGAAAAGTTATTTCCTTACTGTAAAAAGGCCTACTACATTACACATGCCTTTCCTCATCTTTAATACTTCAATTTTGATCTTTATGTGTCAACTTGTCCAATAAAGATATTCTACGAACTGCTCAATAATACTTGGCTACTCTGCTTGGCACCTAACTTAAGGATATGGAGATGCATGTTCCTCCTTCCTTTACCTCCCAAATTGTTCTTCTAGAAAGAACCCTAATTGGAAAGTTTCATAATTAACTTTAGCTTAAAAATGTACAAACCTGAATATTTTCTCTGCTCCATGTATGTGGTGTCTTGTTGGCCAGCAACTTCAAATCCTGGATTGCAAGCCTCTTCACAGCCTTCCTGGGGTCATTTTTCAAGTACTGCAACAAAAGTTGGATCTACAACGAAATAAATTCATTGTTTAAGAGATACACTACTAGAAGGAAGTCTTTCCAAAAGCACTCTTGAAGAAATATTGAGCATACTCAACCAAAATTAACTTGCCCTATCTGTTTGATTGCTTGCCACGTGGCTGTGAAGCCACTGCAAGCTAAAATAGTCTGGCATTTTTTACCATCCAGCTCTCTTGGTTCATGTACCCTTCTCTACATAACCCTGCGTACCTGAGAAGCCTCAAGATATGTTTCAATGCTCAGAAATACCATAAAACATCCCTGAAAAACTCAGTAAACACCTTATACTGTTGTAATTATGCTGTTAACCAGTATTCTGGGCATTTGATGCTAATTTGGGCATCTGTGTGATCTGCACTTAACAGATAGCAAGACAGACATACCTTGTATGTCAGTAGCTGCAAAAACAACCCCCAAACCCCCAACCAAACAAAAACAACCCCTACCCACACCTTCTGAAGCATTTATCTCAATTTAAGCAACACTTGCCTGCATGTTCTTTATTGTGACCATTGACTGCAAATTTACAACCATGGAAAGCCAGGACATGAAAAAGCATGAACCTCCCCATCATGACTACATCAGTTTTAAGCAGTATTGGCTGCTGCTGTGCTGCAGAAATACAGTCTAAATCTCCATGTTTACTGCCATTTAAAAGAAAAAAAAAAAGCAGCACATTAAGTGTTCCAATGCTGTTTCAGTAGACTGAGATTTGGTACTATCAAAAGCATCCTCTGAAATACAGAAATGAGCCATACCAAAAGTTTCAGACAGATCAATGCTATTAGTCTAACAGTAACAGATACCAGCTTTCCACAGCCTTACAGGACTGAAATAAAGCAAACAGACTTTCATGACTACAAGGATTAGTGAGATGAGTCTCAAGTGTCACTGTGTTCAGATCTGCTATATAAATCACATCCACAAAGCTCATTACCAGAGCATAAAAGCATTGATTGTACTTTTCCATCACTGCTTTCCCATTACTTGGTGTATAGTCCTAAATTTAAACAACAGATTCAAATTCTCAAAGTTCTTCAAGAAATACATTTTAAATGCATTCCGCGTTATTGAAATATTCATTTGCTTGCATGAAAGAAAGACAAAAGGCACCCCCACAACACAAGGCAATATACAGCAGTGAAAAGTGAAGTCTGGCTTCTACAGGCACAATGAAATGTTTTCAGAAAGTCAGGGTGTTTGCTTTTCTGAATGCTAATCGATCCTAGCTGATTTCAATCCCAGTTGATTTAAAGAAAGACATGTTATGATCTGTAAAAAAGGGTTAATGTGTTTGATGGGGTTGTCTGGAAACATAACCATCTAGAATTTGAATTTTTTTCAAATGAACTTAGTACTTACTGCATTAGGAAGAATTACCTGCTTAGGAATGTCAACCAAAGAAGAAGCAGCAAGCAGAGTAAAGGTGTGCAGAGTAACAATGACCATCTTGGTAGAGGGGTAGGATGTCACCAGCTGCTGGAGCAGCTGCCGGGAGCTGGAGGCCAAGCTGGCATCATGATGCATGTGCTGCAGAATAGGGATCAACTTCAACTTCAAATCCACGGGTGTGGCCAAACCTGCAACAAGGAAAAGAAACAGGTAGAGTGTCAGTCCTTGTACTGAGGGACACAGTATGTCTACATTGCTATCACTGCTGAATGCAGACTGTGCAGACACATGCATTGGCTTCAAATGGCTCATCTCCGGGGCAGGTGTGTAACAACAGCAGTATCAAGCACTTTCATGGCTGTTTGAGAAACCTGCTCCTTGATTCAGTGCAGGCAGCACACATATTAACTCATCTGAAGCAACCTGTGAGAGTCTATGTAAGTTTATTCACCTACTGTAGATAAGCTTTTATTCTGTACCAAACAGGTGCTTCGAGAACTTAGATTTTAAGAGGACACAAGAGCCAGACATTAGATTACTGGTTAGCTAATTTAATTTAAAAATTGGAGTTATCTGAGTACAAGGACAACAGCATTCTGGTATCTAATATGTAAATATGAATAATAAAGAATTTTCAGAGAAATTAAAGCTTTTCCCTTTTATCATTCAATATACACACGTACCTTGAATCATCTCACTGATTTTATTACATATTCCGACAGCAAAATCCCTGTAGAGAAAAGAAAGTACCAGGTGAAATGAAAAATAAAAAATTAAGTAATGAAAATTTTAAAAATGAGATTTAAAAATCAACTGAATTACCAAACATTGTGTTTTAACAACAAAAACCTTCCCCAAAAAGGGCCTGCAAAGACCTAAGTCTTTTCAGAAACTCTGCACAAGGGCATGATCAAATGATAAAATGGAAGCTTTCAAAAAAATGTGTCAAAATGACAATCAGTACTACATTTTGGTCCCTAATATCATTCCTGTAAAATAATCCTTGATTAAAGCTGCTATTCCACTTTGAATTCTCATATTTATGAGCTTTCCATTTTTGAAATAAACTAATGTTAAACTTGTATTCAGGTTTCTCTACAATACTATTATTGCACAAAATTAAATGATTTGCTATAAATGACATTGTTATCACTAGAGAAGGAAATATTAAAGTTTGTGAATGGGTTCATGAAATTAAAAAAAATCTTACTTAGACTGTGCAGAAAAGTTGGCAGCAGCAAATATAGCAGCTTCCACTTCCACATTATCATGGGAATCCAAACTCTGACGAATACTGTGATGTGCATTCTTCCTTTCTGGAATAATAGATGCCATGCTGCCCAACATCCTACAGAAATAAATCACAGAAAAACCAGGAAGAACGATGTCCAAGAAGAAACGTAAGATGAAACCAAATAGAAATGTAAAATGACTGCTAAAATACTATTTTTTCTATAAGTATGTGTGGTCTTCCACATCTATTACAGAAACAAGCAAATGCTAAAAGTAGGCATATAATTACATGGTAACAAATTTTGTCATGAGGGTTATGTCAGTGGTTTGACAAAAACTTAATTACATTATGATACCTCTTATCTTGAAATTGTACAGTGAGAAACCTACCAAAAATTCTTTTAATATTAAGAGTGCACTATGGTACCAGGAATAAGTATTTTGAGATGCTTTTACATTCAAGCTCTGATAGTAATACAACAGATTTAATGCTAAAATGTACTGATGGCTATTTTCAGAAACACACAAAGAACATAATGAGATATAAATTCAAAAATGTGGTAGTCTAGGGGCGATATAAAAACACATTTAGAGAACTACTAATTTAATTTCTACTTTTTCTATCCCTCTTCCTAATTAAGACTGCAGAAGTAAGTACAGAAGTAAACGTCTGAACAGTCATAAATTTTAACCACATACTATGAAAGGGAAGTTTCTACAGTAGTTGCCATGATCAAGTAATCAAATATGTGACTTTCATAATTTGTTTCTAAGATCTTTCACTGATGTGGGATAAGGTTATTAGTAGGAATAGTGCAATACCTTTTGTGTAACTGCTAACAAAGTTGCAAGTCAATTTATACTTTGTTATGAAAAGACACCCTTCAGACATATTTAGCATAATCCAGTTAAAAGAAAAAGGAATGCAGGATGGTAACACTGATGGTAATTTCAGCAAGAGTTCTGTGCAAGTATTTACACACACTTATCTAGCAATAAAATTCCACAAAGTTTTGGTTTAGCAGATCTTTCTGTCTACATGTTCTTTCTTACTGACACTATTCAAGGAGGACAAAACCAAATCAATAGAAGATTTTAATCTGAAACTGCTGAACCAACAGCCATTTTAATGTTTCCCTTGATGCATCCTGTGAATTTATTGGTAATTTAAGTATTTTTTCAAACAGACTGGATTCCTGGGACTTCTATCAGTCTGCTAACTCTCAATGCCAGCCAACAACTGCAAGCATATGTTAGAATACTATAGTGGAACTACAAGAAACATGTAGTCCCATTGTATTTAACAATTTCTGAGACCAGAGCATGAAAGCACAATCTCAAATGAAATATCAAAAGAAAAAAGAAGTGGACACATGAGCTAATCAATCAAACCCATTAATGCCTCCCATCTTTCAACAGTGAAATCAGTAACAGTTCTAAATGGAGAGAAAAAAAGAATATAAAGGGAAAAAGAAAAGTGCTTTTCACATTCACAATCACCTGCACAGGGGTTGGAAGATGCACTTAAGAAGAGGATGTTGGACAGTGCTGGAGACACAGACACCAAGGCAGCAAGACAAAGACATTAAAGACAGGTTTATTTGTTTTCCCATTTGATTCCTAGGAAGTCCAAAGCAATCAACAACAGCACTTCCTTAGAAGTTATTGATCAGACCAACAAACAGTAAACTTCTAGGACAATGATGAACGAAAAACAGGTGCAAGTATAACAAGGTTCACATAAGCTTTAGTCACTAGTTAACAAAAATTATTTTGACATGCAAGGAAGTACTTTCCTTTTGGTCCTGGTCTAAATATATCATAGGCAATGTATGATATATTGCATATGGCTACTGTCTGGGTTATGCATACAACAAGGTTCAGTTTTCTTCTTGTGAGCACACAAAATTTCAACACTGCAAATTCTGTTTTACATGAAGCCATCCACAAAATTCTCACCATCATACATGATTAATAACCTTGTTCTTCTGACCACAGATCTTTATCATTCACTCCCTTTAAAGACAGATGTCTTTGCTTTTAACTCCATGAGCAATGTATAAAAAGCCTTCTATATTTCATTCATAGAATGGTAGAACAGTTTGGTTTGGAAGGGACCTTAAAGATCATCTGGTTCCAGTGCACCTGACATGGGCAGGAACACCTGCCACTAGACCAGCTTGCTCAAAGCCCCATCCAACCTCGCCCTGAACACTTCCAGGGATGGGGCATCCACAGCTTCTCTGGGCAACCTGTTTCAGTGCCTCACCACCCTCCCAGAAAAGAATTTCTTCCTAATATCTAACATAAATCTATTCTTTCAGTTTGAAGCCATTCCTCCTTGTTCTATCACTACGTAGACGCCCTTGTGAAAGGTCCCTCACCATCTGTCTTGTAGTTTCCCTTCAGATACCAGAAGGCTGCAAATACGTCATTCCAAAGCCTTCTCTTCTCCAGGCTGAACAACCCCAATTCTCTCACCCTTTCCTCACAGGAGAGGTGCTCCATCCCTCTAATCATCTTGGTGGCCTCCTCCGGACTTTCTCCAACAGGTCAATGTCCTTCCTGTGCTGGGGAACCCAGAGCTGGAGTTTGAGCAGTGCTCAAAGCGAAGTGTCACCAGAGCAGAGCAGAGGGGCAGCATCCCCTCCCTCGACCTGCTGGCCAGGCTGCTTTGGATACAGCCCAGGACACGACTGGCTTTCTGGGCTGTCAGTGCACATTGCCAGGTCATGTCCAGCCTCTCGTCCACCAGCACCCCCAAGTCCTTCTCGGCAGGGCTGCTCTCACCCCCTTCACCCCTCAGCCTGTGTTGATACCGGGGGTTGCCCCGACTCAGGTGCAGCACCTTGCACTTGGCCTTGTTGTTCCAAGTGAGCACACTGATAATTAGCTACAGATATGAAGTAAATTAGGATCATTTATGTAATACATACCGGAGTGTAATAGCCCGAGCAACTGGATCATTGCTATGAATTACTGAGAAAACTCTTTTGACAAATTCATCCACATTTAGGATCTTCTCCAAGTGCTTCTCACTCTGCTGAGTAACTTTCAGCACACACAACCTCAGGAAGTTGTTCCTATTAGAAAATACACAAGTTTCTTTGTCAGGCTATTTTATAACAAAAATTCAAGGACTTGAAACACAAAATTATTTTAAAACAACTTCTGAAAGAAAATTAAAACAAGGAAATGTCTACGCTTCAGAAATGTTTGAGTAGACTGATGTAATACAAAAGAGACTATTAGTACACTAGTGTTTTATTTTCTAGTTCTGGTAGTGTCAGATTTAGGCCCAATTCCAGGGAAATGAACCAGCTGGCACCAGTGAGGAGGGGTGTAAGCAAATGCCTGTCTTGTGGACACTTAGGGATTCAATTCTTCTAGAAAAACACATTCAAGACTAAGGCAAGAGAACTTAATTGCCACTGTTGGGTGTGAGTGAATTTCTTTCCCTTCTTGAAGACAGCAGTGAAGATTCCACATCAACATTTAACTTTGTAACTTATTCCAAAGTAGCTCCGATTCCATTAGATACATCACTTAGACAGCAGGCACTTGGAAAAGCTATACTTTGAGCTTTGTTATTAACATTGCGTGACTTAGAGACAAAATTTGCACACATGACCATTCATCTTTTTATGAATTACAAATCTGAATGTGCCTGTGAAGCAGACCTTACACCAGTGAACTTATATCAGTCAGGAGGGGAATCGGGACAGATGAAAAGGAACTCTGTCATTGATCACTCACAGCCACTTAAGCCCACGAAAGATGGGGAAAGCAAACTTCAGTCGAGCATAATCTGTCCCCAAGACCGAGTCCTACCGAACGGAGATTTGAATGGAGAGAAACTCACCGATGGCACTTACCCCACTCTGAAGACATCAGCCAGCTTTAGGAACGCCGAATTGATGAGAATAGGGAAGGGATATTTCTGGAAGAGCCTGGGAAAACGAACGACGGCTTCGCACTGCTCCCCCAGTTTCCCAGACCTGAGGCCTAAGCGAGACAACAGGAATTACCGCGGATACCTCCAGACCCAGATCCTCCCTCCGCCCTCGCTGTGGATAAAGCGGCACAGCGCCAAGCTCCCACCTCGGCCCAGCGACAACCCCGAGCCCGCGCGGCCTCACCTTTGTCCAGCTCCATCAGTGCGGAGTTGGCGTCCAGCTCCTGCTCTCCATAGCCCGCGTCGGCCAGGAACGACTTGGCGCTGGACGCCATTCCTGCCCTTCGCCGCCGGCCCCGCGCACGCGCACTCGCACTCCCGCCGCCGCGCCATTCCCGCGCAGGCGCGTGCCCGCCCCACCCACTGCGGCCGCGGGAAAGGGCAACCCGGAAGCCCCGCCCCCCACGCCGCCAACTCCCAATCAGAGGAGGAGGGCGCGGCACCTCGCGCTCCCCGCCGGCCAATGAGGGCGCGCCGCGGGCTTGGCGGGCCGGTCGTTTTGGCGGGAGTTGTATTGGCGCGCACCGGCCGTGTCCGCGCGGCCATGCTGTGCCGCGCGCTGCTCCGCCGCGCCGCCGCCACCACCGACCGTGGGTACCGCGGCACGACCGCTCCTCATCTTGACCTGCCCCCGCGCCCCTCCACAGCCCCTGCGGCGGCCTCGGGGCTCCTGGCGCCCGAGCCCGCCGTGTCTGGTGCGCTTACGGTCCGTGTGTCCCGTTGCAGGTCGTTCCCCGCCGCTTCCCCTGCAGCATCTCTTAGATGGCTACCAGTGCAGCCAGGAAGATGACCACCTGTCTTATGGGGAAACGGGGATGCCGGTCCCTCCTTTCGGCTGCACCTTTTCTACAGGTAAAGTCACCTTCTGAAAACCCTTTTGGAGGCCAGGGTGTGGGCACTGCTGTCAGCTTTTTTTGTTGTTCCTGTTTGAGTTTGTCTCATGATTTGTTTTCAGACTTTTCTTGTTTTAAGATGAGCTGGTAACAGTGTACTTGCTTCTAGATGTGATATACATTGGATAGTGGTGCTCCTATATATACTGATAGAAAGTATTCCCTTAAAGAAGCAACTGCAAAACATTTATTTTAATACCTCTTTGTTTCAACTGTGTCTATTTCAAGGTATGTCCTCTTGGTGACAGTGCGAGGCTACATAGGTGAAAAACTGGGCTTTGTTCAAAATAGATAAAAGATGTAACAGCGTGGAGAACAGTTTGTAGAAACCAAAGATGGATGCATGGTGGATGCATGTCACCAGGCTGATAACACACAGCATTTCTCCACGGTGAGCACATACTGAGTGGAGTAAACATGGAGGCTCCTGGATCTTTAGGGCAAAACTCTTTCATTCCTAGTAGTCTAGTTTCAACGTGAGCTCTTACGTTTTTCCAAGGCAGCTTCCTGCTTTTCCAACTCAGATCATGAAAACTGCTGGAGGCTGTAGATGATACATAGCATAGACAGAGAAAACTATAAGAAGAGAATGATTATAACTGGTGAAAGAGGCCACTGTCTCAAAAGTTGCTCCTGGAGCCATTTGGTTGCCCATGTACAGTTACTCCTGAAGGGAACGTCTAGAAAAAGTGCTTACCAATATTTCTGCATTTTCAATATCTAAGTTACTATGTAAATACTGTTTATTTTGCAGTTATCTATTTGCTGTGTACTCTATTTAAAGAGTCTGTATCCCTTCAGAAAGAACAGGGGTATGAGTATGAATTAGCTACATAATATATTATGTTTCAATTTATTTTCAGCACCAAATTGGGAGCATGTATTAGCAGTTGCAAATGAAGAAGGATTTGTTAGACTCTATGATACTGAAGCTCAAGCTACCAGGAAACTCATCTTTAAAGGTAAATGTTGAGTAGAAGGTAATCTTCATTTGGTATAATAAGTATGGGATTTACTGGAATCAAAGTAAGCTTTTTGCAAGTCATTAAAACATTAGGCAGTATTTAAATCCTTTCACATTTTTTGTTGAGTCTTCTTAACAGAGTGGGAGCATGAATATGCTCTTACAACAGCAGTAGTAGGTGAATTGTTCTATGTTGTTTTTCATGCCTAAGCAAGCTGTTGACAAGATTTCTGATTTCAGTGTCTGATGTCCTTTAGTCTTCTGCAAAATATTGTGCTTCAATGCACTGAACTAACCTTGACTTTCGTTTTCTTGTTAGAATGGCAGGCTCACTCAAATGCTGTATTTGACCTTGCCTGGGTACCAGGGGAACACAGGATTGTAAGCAGTCTTTTGCCTTCTAACTTTATTTTTAATGCTTCGGCACCTGTGTACAGAAAAAGACTAAAGCTTTTTATTTTTGCTTCTGAAGGTCACTGCTTCAGGAGATCAGACAGCCAAGGTGTGGGATGTGAGAGCCGGCGAGCTTCTTGGCATATGCAAAGGTCACCAGTGTAGCCTCAAGTCAGTTGCTTTTTCTAGATTTGAGAAAGGTAAGTGTTGATATTCCCTGTTTGTTCCTCTTTCTCTCTGGCAAAGTACTTTAAAGGCTAAAAAAGGGCTTTGGAAACTGACAGGTACAGATATCACAGGCCTACTGAGGAGGGACCCAGCCAGAGAAGCAGAACTAACTTGCTGGAACTTGATGGTGTCGTGATGCTAACATCTGCACTTTTCTAATCTTGGGCAAAGTTAAGATATAATATCTACTTCCATACATAAGTGTGTGAATATGCTTTTCATAAGTAGATTTCTCTAGAGTATTAGGAAAAAAAAAGGAATAGGAAAAGTAAAAAAACTAGTCAAAAAGTATGGCAAAACAATGGTCTGGTTTTCATATTTCTAGGACTGGTATCCCAAGTGTTGAGGCAGAAGAGCCAGAGTGCATAGATATCATTGTACTGGATTCAGTTAATTAAATTAACACTTTTGGAAGCTAATAGCACTCTTTTTCTCCCTCTCAGCTGTCTTCTGTACTGGAGGCAGAGATGGAAACATCATGGTTTGGGATACCAGATGCAACAAGAAAGGTAAATGAACTTTCAGATATGTATGAAAAAAGTGAAAGTACTGCTCAGAGTTACTTGTTGGACTAATGCTTTTGATTACAGTATAGGCAAAACTTCAGTAAAAGGGAAGGATTGTCACATAACTACTGCTTTAGTACCGTAAAGGGATGGAATAGGTATCTCTTCTATGTATAATGCGTTTTTCCACTTTGTAGCAGTCTCAGGTTTGCGGCATGATACACATACTGGCTTGATAATACCCTGTGTGTTGGTAAGGAGATGAGGGGGTACAGAATACATCCCTGTTAGGACAGCACAAAAACCAGATGAGCTGGGAGAGACTGCTTAGCTCAGAGCCATCTGGAGGGATGAAGTAAAGCTGGAAAGGCTTCTGCCAGAGAGGAAAAGAAGGCAAGAAGTGTAGAAGTAAAGGAGCTTGTGAGTGCTGGCAGCAACTGAATATATTGTGGGAAGACCTACTGTAAATGCAAGGGTGAGCTCATTCTGCTCCTCTCTTTCTGTTTCCTGGAGCTTCTCCTTCCCCAGTCAGGTTTTTTCCCAGTTTTCTGCTCTGTCAGAGCAGCTTCCTTGCCTGCATTGCCAGAACATGTCTTGATCTTCCATCTGTCCCAGATTGCCTGGCTCTTCAAATGGACAAGTGGGGGAAAAGAGAGACTCCACATGATTGAAGTGGAACATGTAGGGAAAAAAAAGTAAGAAAGTTGCATTACTCTAGTAAAGCAGTAAGTTTCATAAAGTGAGAAGTAGCAGACAAAAGACTAAACAGAAAATTATAAAATAGAGTGGAAAAGCACTGTGAGTACAATTCTGCTTTGAATGAGTTGAATGTTCCAGACCAGGATGCATGCTGAAAACCAAACCAGGGGGTAATGATTTCTAAAGGCAACCTGCTCAGTTTTAGTTTCAGTGTCCGTGCTACACTGACCTGTAATTTTTTGCATTATATGTTCCTGGTGCTTACTGTGTTCTCACCAGTTTCATATATAACTAACAATTTTTGTTTTCAGAATACATGAATGATTTTAAAGGTTTGTCTCAGCCACCTCTTAGGACTAATCCCAAGCTGATGCCTGTTTTATTAAAGTGATAGGGAAATTGCATGGAAACTATTAATTGAGATGCCTTTGATTTCTTTCAGATGGATTTTACAGGCAGGTGAAACAAATCAGTGGTGCACACAACATGGCTGACAAGCATACTCCTTCCAAACCTAAGAAGAAGAGGCAGAACTTAAAAGGACTTGCTCCCTTGGTGGTAGGTATCTGGGGAACAAACAAAATGTAAGCCTCTCTTCTGGGGACACTGTTATGCATAGAAGTCTTCCTAAGTAAACACAGCAAGAAATATGTGACTTGTATGTGGTAAATGCTTCCATTTATCTTCGCAGAAGTAGGTTTTTGTGTCATGGTCACTTGCTATGGCTAATTTTAGACTTTGTTTAGTTGTCTAACAACCTTGTGCCATCAAAGCCAACTTTGTGCAAATGCTGTGTGAAAATACATCTTTTCTTCCCAGAGAGGAAAGGAATAGCCAGCATTTTGAAGGGGGGGAAATGGGGAGGGTTGTAATATTTATTTTTTTCCTGTGTTTTTCTCCCCCTAATATGACCCGACAAATTACTGCCTTATTGGAATAAGACCTAGTAATATTTAATCTATTAAACTTTGCGATAAAAGCAGCTCTCTTATCTCTGACCTGAAAGGTATAACCTCAAACTGCTGCCCAGACACTCACTGCTCAGACACTCATGGCTCAGCAGCAATTTCCCTGGTGGCAGTGTTTGAAGGACTGTTGTGTCCTAAACGACATCTGGTATTTCCAGGTTCTCCTGTGTGGCCAGAAGAAGGAGGTTTTCTCAGTATTCACTTGGCCTTGAACTAAGCAGCAAGATCTTACTGACCTTAAAAGAAAATAAAGATCTTTTTTCTTTTCTTCTTAAGGATTTCCAGCAGAGTGTAACTGTGGTGCTGCTTCAGGACGAGCACACTCTTATCTCTGCAGGAGCTGTTGATGGGTAAGGAGGGGGGATGCTTCCTTGTCTGTGTACTCTTCTTAGTGGCATAAAAAGATTAGGGGATTTTTTTTCCTAAGATCACTCAGTGCACAAGGCTAGAGTTATTGCTAGGTAGAATCAACAGCTACACTGTCAGTTTGCATTGGCAAAGCTGAATGCTGCTTTACTTCCTTACTGGAGATTGCAGCACTGGACAAATTGTGCATATATGGTAAATGCTCATTTTGGTGTCCTAGGTATGAGGCAGAATTAGAGCAATTCTTATCTTTCTCTCTGTTCTCATGGACTTCTGAG